TGCAGGCCACACACTGGTGTCCTCTAGTTTAAGGTACAACAGGAGAGCTGGCGAAGTCCTGTAGAAAGTTACCGGGTTCTGATGCCAAACTAGGATGATCCGGCGTCAGTTCATCTAGCACCAAATCTAGGCCAACAGCAGACAACAGACGACGTGTATGTTATTTCTACACTTAGGGAAGATCCTCAGTTATGCAGAAGTAGAAAACTTTGTAATTAAATCTACAAAGGAAGGAAGGAAGGATGGAAGGAAGGAAGGAAGGATGGAAGGAAGGAAGGAAGGATGGAAGGAAGGAAGGAAGGATGGAAGGAAGGAAGGAAGGATGGAAGGAAGGAAGGAAGGATGGAAGGAAGGAAGGAAGGATGGAAGGAAGGAAGGAAGGATGGAAGGAAGGAAGGAAGGATGGAAGGAAGGAAGGAAGGATGGAAGGAAGGAAGGAAGGATGGAAGGAAGGAAGGAAGGATGGAAGGAAGGAAGGAAGGATGGAAGGAAGGAAGGAAGGATGGAAGGAAGGAAGGAAGGATGGAAGGAAGGAAGGAAGGATGGAAGGAAGGAAGGAAGGATGGAAGGAAGGAAGGAAGGATGGAAGGAAGGAAGGAAGGAATCAAGATAGAAAGGAAAGAAAGGAAAGGAAAGGAAAGGGAGAGCGTAACAAGAACCAATACCCTTTGGGCTTCCCAGGATCTGAACAGTCTTGATGGGAGAAGAAATGGGGGAAAATAGATTAATGAGGTCTAAGCCCAATAATTAAGGTTTAACTATTCATTGCTGACGGGGGACATGGTGGCGCTGTGGGCTAAACCGCAGAAGCCTGTGCTACAGGGTCAGAAGACCAAGCAGTCGTAACATCGAATCCACACGACGGAGTGAGCGCCCGTCGCTTGTCCCAGCTCCCGCCAACCTAGCGGTTCGAAAGCATGCAAGTGCAAGTAGATAAATATAGAAAGGAAGGAAAGGAAAGGAAAGGAAGAGCGTAACAAGAACCGATACCCTTTGGGCTTCCCAGGATCTGAAGAGTCTTGATGGGAGAAGAAATGGGGGGAAATAGATTAATGAGGTCTAAGCCCAATAATTAAGGTTTAACTATTCATTGCTGACAACCTTTCATTTGAAGAGAACTGAAAGCCTCTGAAAGATCAGGTCCGGAGTTTTTCTCACCACCTACGGTGTGCCCCCCTAGCTTTGCTTTGTGGTTGGGTCTCATTTTTCAGGGACCTAGTTTCTGCCTGTATTCTGCCTCTGGAATGGGCGTTTTTCAGCTCTTGCAATATGTCGTCGCCGTTTGGCCTTCTGTCTTTGGCTGGGGATTCTGGGAGTTGTGGTGGTTAAAGGCGAGGGGATTCCGGACATGGCAGGACCTTTGCAAAACGATGAGAATTCCCCAGTGGGTCAAGGGGGTTGTGGATGAAGGGGCTCCCATCTCTCAGCCTTAGGGTGCTCGGACCACCGTTTGGAAACCATGTGCCTCTCATTTCCCCCTTCGCTTAAACTTCCCTCCGCTTTGATCTTGCTGTTGCTGACCTTGCTTAATTGTTCTCTTTTTTTGCCCAGTAAAAACCCGCCTGCAAAGTCAAGTGAACGACGTGCAAAGGAACCTCAGATCCATGAACTGCGACCTGCAGCGTTTCAAGTACAACCGGACAGGTCAGGAGGGCCTCTGGAAAGCAGCCGAGGATGCATCTGGAAGGCTGTCCCCAGTTTGGCAAACCCTAAAATGCGCTTCACCCCATTTTGGTCGGGCTGATGGCCTGCAACCGCCTTACAATGATCTTCATCGGCTGTAAGGGCTGGATGGGATTTGTAGTCGCGCCCCTCCAACTTCTGGAGGGCGCACCACGTTGAGGAAAGTCTGTTTCTACCTATTTGAAATAATTTAGTTTTGGGAGAATCAGGCTTGTCCCCCGATTTCATTGGCAAATATTATTTTCCTGGCTTTGCGTTCACTGCGGAATTTACATCCAGGGTTTTGCTACAGGGCTTGTCTAGACTCAAGAACAGGGTTGTGCGGCTGGTGGGAAAGCCGTGATGTTCTCGAGGCGCATGTCTCAAGAGACCCAGCGAGGAGAGCCCGGCTCCCTCTTTTGCTGTCTTGCAAACGCACCTCGAAAGATACTCACTTGGAACCCAGCCAACCCTCTCTTTCTGGAGGGGGAGGGAATCGGGAATCAGACTTGGGGATCGGGACTCGAGGCTTGCCGCCAAAGACTCGAACTCAGGACTTGGTGCCAAAGACTTGCCCTCATCCCAGGGATTTAGTGAGTGAACACTTACAGACGTTTGATCAGTCCAAGGGGCCTTCTCCAGTTGCAACGTCCCACTGGATTTCAGCCATGGTTTGTTCTTTTAAACGAACGTGCTTGGACACAAATAAATAATTGTTGTCTTGTTCTCTATCCTTCTCCCACCCCCAAAAAAAGCGGGCCAGGAGACCTGCTGTCCCAAGGACTGGTCTGCCTTTCGGAAAAGCTGCTACTGGGAGTCCCGGGTGGGCAAGACGTGGGAAGAAGCGAAAGAGGATTGCAAATCTCGAGACGCCCACCTGGTGATCATCAACTCCTACGAAGAGCAAGTAGGTGGTGCGGGTGTAATGCTCCCAGGTCTGCCCCACTTCCTTGGGTCTGGCGTGGAGGGTGGGGGGTGCTGAATGGGGTGCGGGGGCAACTGGAAAGCCCTCTGGCCTACCAGCACCACCGTGAGCTTTGGTGGGGACATGGATTTGTTGTAGATCAAAAAGGGGGATATGAGCGCACAGGGTGATGGGGCTGCAAAAAAGGCAAATACAATTTAAAGCGGCATTAACAGAAACATAGTCTCCAAATCCTGCAAAGTGCTAGTCCCCCTCTATTTGGGACTGGTCAGGCCTCCTCTTGAGTCCTGAGTCCAGTTCTGGACACCACACTTCAAGAAGGATGCTATCAAATTGGAACGAGTTCCAGGGGGGGGCGACCAGGAGGATCAGGGGCCTGGAAACCAAGCCTGGAAACCAAGGAAAGACGGAAAGATCTGGGCCTGTTTAGCCTTGATAAAAGAAGGCCGAGGGGAGATAGGATGGCACTTTTCAAATACTAGAAAGGCTGTCCTACAGAGGAAGGGGCGTGATCTTTTCTCCATCCTCCCAGAGTGCAGGACACGCAACAATGGACTCAAGTTAAAGGAAGCCCAATTTAAGATGAATCTCATGAAAAACTTCCTAACTGTCAGAGCAGTACGACAAGGGAACCCATGACCTCAGGGGGAAGGTGGTGAGCGCTCTTAACGCCGGAGGCCTTCAAAGGAAAACTGGGCCACCGTCTTGTCCGATCTGCTTTGATCTGGGATGCTGCCTTGAGCAAGGGGTTGGACTGGATGGCCTCAGAGGGACCCTTCCCACTCCATGATTCTAGGATTTTAACAATGTGATGTGTTAGGATCCTGTTTTCATTTTCCGTCCTTTACCTCCTTTCTCCTGCTAGCTCTTTGTAGCTGTGCGTGTGAAGCCGGAGTTCACGTGGATTGGCCTGACCGATGCCAGCGGGTCCTGGAAGTGGGTGGACGGGACGTCCTACACCGTTCGCCAAGAGTGAGTCTGACTGTGGGCACCCAGGCCCCTTTCCCATGACGCAGCGCAAGGCTGCACCCGAAGCGTCGGCTATGAAGTTCCAGCCTTTGCAGGAATCGTAGAAAGAATCTATAGCCGGGCTGGGCAGGGGATTCTGGGACCCGTAATCCTGAAACCAGACAAAACCAGCTGGCACGCCCACCCAAAATATTCCACACCCCATTGTGTTCATACCTTTAGAAGGCTGGTGGGGCGGGGGGGGAGGACAGCTTTCTCTGTTTGGGTAATACGTGTTGTACAAACACAAATTATACGCAACATGTGTTTGGAGAAGAAATAGGTTGTAATACAAAATGTGTTCATGTAACACAAAGAGTGCTGTAAGAAGACGACCCTTTGATCACGCCTTGAATGAGGCCAGCTAAAAATACACCCCAGCCAGGGAGAGAGAACGCCGTGCCTCCCCGGGGAGCCTCACGAAAGCCGAAGCACAATACGGATTCGGGGGTTTGGTCAAGGGGGCTGCCTTTTGGGACTCCCTAGGGGAGTGGTCTTGCACCCTCGGCACAGAGAGCAAACTTTTTCAATAGGGACCTGACACGGCCGGCTAAGCTGTGACCACAGGTGCTGGCGCCCGGCGTCCGGCGTGCATGCGGGTGACGTCTTCCCGAACGTCGGCACCTGTGTGGGCCGTCATTGGCACCGAGGTCCACCCAGGCCAGAATGGAGGAATCAGGATCAGGGCTCAGCCCTGGAATGTGATGGAGTCGTGAAGAAATTACTCTGAGTGCGTGCAGACTTCCCTTCTTTGACAGGAGAGGCTTAGGTCCAGAGCTTGAAAATGACAACACCTGTAACCTACCAGCCAGCATGGGCTATTCTGGGAACTATATTTGAAAACAGGCTATGCACATAGCACGTGATACATAAAGGCACGTGAATGACACTACTGGGGGGAGGAGACTGAAAAGCAGCCAGTGTTTCTTTCTCTCCTCCCCCTTTTTTTCCCTTTTCTAGATCTACATGTAGATTGGTACACATAAAGGCATATGAATGACACTACTGGGGAGAGGAGACTGGAAAGCAGCCAGTGTTTCTTTCTCTCTTCCCCTTTTTTTCCTTTTCTAGATCTACATGTAGATTGGTGTCCTTAGCCTTTCTTCCTCCTTCTCTCTGAGGTCTTTTTCCCCCTCTCTCCATAGTTAAAGAAGCAGCTGCCAGCAGATCTGCATACTTCAAAGCCAACACTAGGGACTTTTCGATATCTTTTAACTGGATTTTCTAGGCAATGTGCTGGCCTCCTGACTAATTGTTCCTTCTCGACGGTTACAAGCTCAGCGCTGCTGCACCCAGCCAGTAAAATGGCTAAATAGAGCTATTGCTGTTGTTTTTCAGATCACATCTCCAAAGTTTATAGGTTCAGGTAGACAAAAATCTAGGTCCCTTTGGTGCAGAATTTAATGCTTGCATCTTCTCACTGAAAGTATAACTATATTTGACTGTACAGTAGGACCCCTTATCTGTGGATCAGCATCCACTGATCCGTTTATCCAGTCTGAAAATATTAAAAATAAATGTTAAAAGAAGAATCCCTCAAATATCTATGTCTAACCATGACGTTACCAGAAATGGCCACTAGAGGGAGACAGAGACCATGCTATGTATCGCGTTCACTATTATAAATAGTGCTTGTTATTATCCACGTTTTTCAATATCCGCGAGAGGGCTTGGAGCTGATCCCCTACGGATAGGAGGACCCTAGTGTGTCTTTGACCCACAGTGTGAACACCTTAGTCAGGAGTGGGGAATCACACAAGGACTATTTTCCTTCTTCTCTTCCCTAGGGAGTGGTGCAGAGAGCAGCCGGACGACTGGTATGGACACGGCCTTGGAGGTGGAGAAGATTGCGCCCACCTTCACCGGAACGGCTGCTGGAACGATGACCACTGCTCCCGGCTGTACGGCTGGGTTTGCGAGATGGAAACTGAGCTCTAAGGGGGAGTCCTTGGGTCCCTCTTGGGGTGGACGGGGTTCCTTTGTGGGGGTGGGGCAAGGGATCCTAAAGAGGGCAGAAGTTACTTAGACTCCGCGTCTTTTGGACTACACCACCCATCACCCCCAACCTTAGAATGATGGGTGCTGCATCTCAAAGGGGAAATTTTATATCTTCTATTTCAAGCTGAAATGGAGAAACCTAAGAAAGGGGTGATGGCGATGTTATTATCTTTTTTGGCCGGCCACTTCCCAAAATTCCGACAGATCTCTGTTTTCGGAGAAGTGCTCCCAAGAATTAACCTGCAGGTGAGAGGATTCGGGAATTACCGGTAATCGTTTTTAAAGACACCTCCAGTATTTCCCATCTTAGAGCGCTCAGAAGAGGCAGCCTAAGAGTTAGAAAAGGGCCGTTCCTGCCTTCTTAGAAAGAAAATCTGCTTCTGCTTTCCTTACAAATCCATAATTTAATTTCTATTCAGATCACTGTCCTTTCTCTTTCAAAAACCAGGAGGGAGGAAACGTCTTCAGGGTTATCTGAGAGAGAGAGAGAGAGAATGTATAAAGATCTCTCACTTCTACTTGTGAAAGGTTTTATGTTATTTCATTTCATGTTTATTTTATTTTGCTGCAAGATACACACTTTGTCCATAACCGGTGAATTATGGCGATCCACAGAATTCCAGGTGTGACTTTTTTTTTTAGAATTAGAAAAAAAAAATGTATAATTTCTTCTCACAGGGAGAAATGCCCATTTTCAAAAGTCTTGGATTAAAGCACGAGGTGGGGGGAAAGGGAGAGAGCACCTAGTACAAATCATTTGCTGTTTTTCTCTCTGTAAACGCTCTGGAAACATACATATCTCCGGGCCGTTGAGAAATATCAGTAGCTCCTCATCAAACAGAGGGCAGAAACTAAGGAATCCACTGGATTCGGTCACCGGCAGCTTCCGATCTTGTCTGAAATTAGACTTTCGGGGTGTGGGATGACCCGAGAACTAAAGTTTGGAAAAGTTTTGGGGTGAGTCTTTGATAGCTCAAGGGTTGAGGTCTCTGGCAGTGGAGCCAGAGGTTTTCTTTGATAGCTCAAGGGTTGAGGTCTCTAGGTTGTGGAGCCAGAGGTTGGGGGTTCGATTCCGACCACGGTGCCTCTCTGTCGGGGGCTGGTCTAGATGATCCCACAGGGTCCCTTCCAGCTATGCACTTCTAAGATGATGACAATTCAAAAATACCAGGCAGAGTCAATCAAACGATTCAAAAATACCAGGCAGAGTCAATCAAAATTATAAAAACATTGACTGGTATTCTATAACAGGTACAAGTTTTAACCAGAGAACTAAGTTTTGATGATGATGATGTGATGATGATGATGATGATGATGATGATGATGATGATGATGATGATGATGATGATGATGATGATGATGATAGCAGCCATGAGGGGAAATGAATGATTCATAATTGTGTGCCATCACGTTGATTCTGAGCTGAGATGACTCTAGAGGTAGAATACTCAGGCGTGGTTTCCCATGCACTCCTTCTGGTGGCGCTCTGGCACCAGTGGGCAGCTTGCCCAAGACCACAGAGGTGGCAGAGCACCTAACCCCATCATCCACATCACATCAGTGCTCTGGGTGACTTGTGACCGGTCCCTCTGCAGGGAGAAGCAAGGGGAGGGGTGAGCCCCTGGTCCCTGGCTCTGCAGCCGGATGCTCCAACCCACTGAGTTGGACCAATGGAAGGGGGAGGGAAATCTGTGGAGAACATTCCCCATGGTTCACAAACATTGTGGTTCTCACCTGACCAGCACACTTCTCACCTGCCCCCTCCTGTTGCTTGGCTTTAGGTGGACCCCCGAATGGGTGGTGGTGACGATCCTGCTTTTATGCCCGGCCGGTGGAACCAGCTGTGATAAGCCACACGAAACCTTCTCCACCCTCTCTGCCTGTCGGGGCGTTTGCTGAGCTGTCAGAAATTCCTGGCTGTGTTGGAAAGGAAGGATGTGAGAAATACGAGCAGAGTCATGCTTGGGGGTGGCAGAGACAGGGAGGTGACCCCAGGTTCCTAATCTGGTTGACTTGTTCTGAACTGACGCTTAGCAAACCTCCCTGGTGCTAGGAGTGGAAATGAGTGTCACGCGTAGCGAAAGGCGAGGCACGTAAGCAGAGCGGCAGAATGAGATCATCTTGGCCGTGTGTAGGCGGAGGAGCAGACCTTTGGGCCGTGAGGTTTCAAAGAGGCTGCGTTCCCAAACTCGGTCTCGTGACTGAATGAAATATGGATTTAATAACACTGACCCATAAGCGTCTTGGGACCCGGAGTAGGGGGTGATGCCCCCTCCTGCTTGGTCCACAACACACCCTTGGATTGCCCTCCGGACAAAGATAAGAGGAAAGTTAAATCATAGCACCAGCTCATTCCAGTCTAACTTTTCCCAACCTTTGACCCTCTCGATCTGTCAGACTGCAACTCCCATAATCCTTGGCTGTGAGATCAGGGAAGTGGTATTCTGGCACACATAGGGGTGGACCAGTCTCTCCTTTTCCTCCCACCCCCTTCATATGTATAATTCTGGGATGAGGATAGTTCTAGTTGATAGAGAAGGATCGTTGGTGGCTTAGGAAAGTGGTGCGGGTGGTTTTGAGGGCCGTGAGATGAAAGGACATGGTCCAGATCCATCATCTCCAGCCATATGTGCAGCCACTCACTTGATCATACATAAAAACCTGAATCGGGGATACACGGGGACAGAAAATTCCGAACGACGGCGTCCAAAATATCTGAGCTGCTGGGCCTGAAAATAAAAACAGCCAAATGTCTCTTAAAAACATAGCAGGAACTAAAAAAATAACCTTTTGTTTCTTTGGCATCGAAACACAGAGGGGGCAGTTTTTTTTGGGGGGGGGAATGTTCTGAATGGAAGAGACCATAGTGACTGGCTGAAAATTAAATGAGCTTAACAATTACTAATGGGATGATCTGAACGATATCTCCCCTGGCCTTACTCTGAGCACAGTGTAACGTTCTAGTTGAGCGCTTCCCGACTGTGGGTTCCCCAATGTTCTTGGACTACAACTCCCATAAATCCTGGCCAGCGTAGCTAGGGGTGAAGGCTTCTGGGAGTTTTAGTCCAGGAACATCTGGAAACCCAGCGTTGGGAAGCTCTGTGCTGGACCCCCTGGAAGTCAAGACCGAATAGATTTCGAAGCAAAGTAGGAAGAACGAAGAGGCTTCTTGGATACAGGACAAACGTTCTGTGCCTGCGGAGAAATTCTGGAAGAACTGGGCATGTTTAGACTTGAGAAAAGAAGACGGAGGGTAGACAGGACATCACTTTTCAAATCCTTGAATGGAAGACCTACGGAGGAGGGGCAGGATCCGTTCCATCATTTTTCAAATCCTTGAATAGGAGACCTACGGAGGAGGGGCAGGATCCGTTCTCCATCCTCCCAGAGTGCAGGAAGTGTCATCAATAGTTTAAACGACAGGAAGCCAGATTTTGGCTGAATATCAGGAAAAACTTCCCAGCTGTTAGAGCAGTACGACGACGGGACCCATGACCTCAGGGGGGAGGTGGTGATCGCTTCAACGCTGGAGGCCTTCAAGAGAAAATTGGACCACCCAATGTTCTGATCTGCTTTGATTTGGATTCCTGCCTTGAGCAGGGGGTTGGACTGGATGGCCTCAAGAGGCCCCCTTCCCGTTCCACGATTCTATGATTCTACATTGCACTTTGGTGCAGGCAATTTCTGATGATCTAGCAAATGGCTGAGATCACGCTATCTACGTAAGTATCCTGCTTCTGGTCAAGAACAGTCTAAGTCTCTTAACATTTTAACTTGTTTTTATTTTTACCTGTATTTCATCTACACCCATCATTTTGAACTGTGCAGTGCTCTGGCACAAATAAATAAGTAAACAAACAAATAAACAAAGGTTTCGAGGGCACAAATCACCCAACTAAGTTCCCAGCAGATTCCCAAGGCTGTGATTTCCAGGTTTTGCCTACGTGCTGCCAGAAACGGAGCAATCGTTGCCCAAAACCTCCTGTTGCTTTTCTCAGCTTTTGCCACCTGGCCTTTTTGTATTTTTTTTTTAATCATGGTTCTAGATTGTTTTGTTTTCCTTGCCGGGGAAACAGGGTGGAGCCCGACGCTGTGACTAATTAGCGCCTGTTGTCTAATTATAACCAGAAGCATGGCGTGTTTGCTGAGGAGGTGGAGGTGGAGGCACCTTTTCTGCAGTTTTCCCATCGCCAGGTTTCGATGCAGTGCGCACCGACAACCTAGGTGCCTGAACCGTCACCTAGCCAGTGTGGCGAGGATGGCCTGGGATTTCTGGAAGGTTCCGAGAGACTCCAGGCCCTCCCTGTTGCTCTGATCCTCCCATTTCTCCCTCCACCCCATTCTGATGAAAAGAAAACTTCCCGTTTATCCCCTAAGAGTAGGCCCGTATTTATTTGGAAAACTTTCTGCTTTCCTGGGGCATAATAAAAGTCGACCCATCCCAGTCAAACAGACCGAGTTGACTCAAAACCAGCGTAATGTACACATGCAATAGACGTAGGTGTCACCGCATGGAGTGTATATTGCTCTGTGCAATGCAGTTAGTGTGGTGTTTGCCTCCTGAAGGCGACGGGGCAGGTAGCATTCCTGTTGAAAGCATGATCTTTTATTGCTTTACTAAAGTTTTTACTTGGAAGCTAAACCTGCTAAGCCGTTTGGGTCCATTCTGTCTTGTTTGACTGGGACTGATCAACTTATTTATATATTTACATGTTTACTTATTTGTTTGTTTACTTGTATGTATGTATGTATGTATGTATGTATGTATGTATGTATGTATGTATGTATGTATGTATGTATGTATGTATGTATGTATGTATGTACGAAAGCGTGATCTGGGAGGTTTACATCAGTCAATGAAGACAGAATATGACGGACAACAACGTCAAAGAGAAACAAATCCTTGGGATATCAGGCAAAATCCCAAGAAACAAAACATGTCAAAAATGTGATGTCTCCTTAAAGGCTAAGGACTGTTTTTTAATGTGAGCTTTCGTGGACACGTCCCCTTCGTCAGACATGGGGGATGGCATGATATACTGGATTAAATGCCAATTTCACAAGTGACACACACTCCATCTTCATCGGTGGGAAGAGACTCGTTACATCTCACAGGGGGTGATTTTATGGCCTGTATTTGGTGCTGGGTTCTAGTGTAAGCATCTCTGCGGGAGAACATGGGGAAATCAAGGGGGGAACATTTGTAAGGCAAAGTAGACCAAGCAATAACAAGATGTTGGCAAAACCTAAGAACCCAATTTATTTAACCGAGGATGCCGCTGGAGGCTTCTTGAAACCTTTTTTGTTAAGCATCTTCTTCAAGGCAGGGAGACAGGAGGCCTGGCTTAGCTCCGCTAAGGCCCGGTTTCGTAGGGGATGGTGGTCTCTCGGGCCCCTCTTGGAGGGGAAACCCACAGGAGAGTGACCTGGGAGGATCGGGCGGCGCACGGCCCACGTCCTTCGGCGGGAAAGGCAGGTCGCCGAGCCTTGAATGGTGGCCGGCTTGTCCGGCAGGATCTTCTGGAACGACGGATGCCAGCCACAAGGGTTCGAAAAAGAATGATCTCAAACTAGTTTATCTCTGAAAGAAATCCAGGCGTGCCGGAATAAGGGATTGCCTTTAATCTGGGTTCTCTGCCTGATGTCAAAAGAAGATGCTCAAAGAATGTGGAGGAACGTGCGACTGGATTCCAGGGGTGGTGGTGGCGGCGCTGAATTCGGAGGCGGTTGTTTTCAACTCCTGCATTCACCCCAAAGCCTCTGGCAGAGGCCCGGGTGCTCTTTCCTCTTCCTGCCGTGGCTTCTGATGCCCTTCTCAGGAACCGCCTGGACTTGGCTGGCTTGAATGGTCTTATGCCAAGCAGAAGGAAAGCAAGGGGGTGCGATGTGTGGGGTAGGAGAACCCCATTTTTTAAAAATGTTCCCCATCTTTAACTATGTTATTATTGTTGCTTTTTATTTAATTATATTTTTCTTATTCTATTTTTATTGTTAGCCGTCCAGAGTATTTCTTATTCAATTTTTATTGTTAGCCGCCCATAGTAGACATGTGTCTAGATGGGGGTGGGGTATAAAATCAATCAATCAATCAAAATAAATAAATAAATGAATCAATCAATCAATCAATCAATCAATCAATCAATCCTGCCTGGATTCCTTCCACTCTTCTGATTTCCTTTTCCTATGAATGAGGGCCCCTTCCATCACACTTTTCCTGGGTCCAGCTCAAAAGGGGGGGCGGCGGCTCTCCCTCTCCCCTCCTCCTGATACACACAGCAGCCCTGCCAGGTAGGCCAGGCCCAGCTGCCTCCAGCTCTGATCTGGGGAGCCTCCCTTGCTCCATCCATCCTTCTTCAGCCCCCCA